GCCTGCCCCCCGCTGCTAGACTCCCCGCGCGGCGGTGCGCCGCCCGCGCCTAGAAAGACAGCGGTCTGGACCGCTATGACCCCGCCTGGCGCTATGACCCTGCCCCTGGCCTAGACGGCCTTGTACCTGATCCATGGAGGCTGTACGCCTCATGGACACCCTAGATCAGCGCATGTATACAGCATGTCGCTTCATGAAGATCCGGAGCGCCCTTGGCGCCTCATGTATGAAGACCCGGAGCGCTTCCATGCGCCTCCTGTTGATTGCGCAGCTGCCTTGGCGCTGCATGTATGATCAGAGGCTAAGCCTCATGTACTTTATCTAACCTCATGTCTAGCTATCTTAGATTAGCGATATACTATAGATTATAGACTGAGCTTGAACATCTACTTACACTATGTATAAGTAGACACATTGTTGTAGATTATACTTTACTTTAATCTACTAGGTTCATCCCCAGAACTTGCTCATCTAAGCCTACCAGCTTCCTTGTGTGAGACCGCACTTCTAAGTCGCCCCCATACGACTTAGCACGTATCCACTAGCCCTGCATCTCGACGAGCGCCGCCTTACCGAGATCGCCGGAGGAATCCTTGACGTTCCGTCAAGGCCAGACCACGCTCAGCTTCAGTAGACTCACTCGAGTCATCGCTGAGAAGACCCATCCTAGTTCGCACACGCCGACCGACGGTCGACGTAACACTTGGCAGCATTTCTTGAGTAGAGGGAACGGGGGCATCCGAACGTGCTTCATTAACCGCTAACATATCTTCAGGGATTGACAGCTTGAATCTCGCGGAGTCGACCAGCTTGCGCAGCACGACGTCCAAGGTACTAGTCACCAAGGGGATGTCCAACATCTCCGGCACCTCGTCCTTGAGCTGCTTGAGACAATCTTGCATAATTGATATCAGAAAATGAAAGTATAATAACAACCTGGAGACTACATACCATCTGGCCAAGCTGCGAACTTGATCTCGGGTACAGTAACATCTAATTCGCTCATGATATCTTCCACGGTGCAGTCCTGAGCTTGGTGCTTGCCCTTAGACTTCTTTTTCTCTAACTCCAACAAGTTCTCAGCTTCGGTCCAGAGTTCTGCCTCATAGTATGAATGCGCTTTGCGCTTGATGAAAGGGACGACGAGCAGCTTGAGATGCTGTGAACTCAGGTAGTGAGGATTGAATTCGGGACCAATAGGTGGAACGTCATCAGGCCAGTTCTTGATCATGAACTTGTACTGGAAAGCATAGTCAAGAAGCTTCCGCCACTGGACTGCTTTAGGTCGATACCCAAACTTCGCTATTTAAGCAGACTCCGGTTAATTGTTGAATGTAGACAAGCTTGAGTACTCACAAGTATTCTCGAGTACCATAATTGGCCATATCCTCCTGTAACAGTCGTGGGGAGGCTCGTTCAGCTTTGAAAGTAGAATTTCATAAGCCCCTACTCCCCCCATAAACTGCGGCACAGATATATTGTAGCCTTCGCTCTGTGAACATGTCAGAAGGTAGCAAAGTCTTAAAGAATAAGATGCACTTTGTTGCGGTCACGACCAAATCTAAGATTGCGCGAGCGTCCAGTTGATGCTCGTTGATCAAATTGACTGTGAGGTTGGAGCCCGTGACAAAGCCAGATGCCTGTCGAGCAGCCTCGTCTTGTGTTGTATCAAATATACACCCGACAGCCTCCACTCCTTCAAGGCGAGAATAAGCAGACAACTATATCAAGCCATTAGCTATAACGCAGAATGTGCAAATGAGGCGGATGTACCCTTCTTGCGATATCCTCTCTCATTGACAAGATGGTCTTGGCGCGTGATTGGTTGGTATTGCCGCCAGTAATGTTATAATTGCGAATTGTGTCCCACTGTCCGTCCTCCTTGCCCATCGCATGGTAATGTTTGCGTTGACGTTCTTTCCAGTCAACGATAGCTGTTACTCTCAATTTAGCCTCAGCTACACCACTGAAAGGGGCACTGACATTCTTTGTCCTTGCGCGGGTTATTATCCATGAACCAGTGTTGGTGGGCGTTCCAATCGGACTCTGAACGCGAATGCTTGATGGACAGGCCGGCCTCGATGAGAATACTACGCGCAGACTTGCCGTACTTGGTGCCAATGACCCGAGCTTCTTCTACTGTTGTCTGACCAAGTTCCTGGGCCTCATTGATGCCCTCCTGACATAGCCGGCCTTCTTTTAAATGGCCTGTGAGTTCTTGCTCATCCTCACTGGGGTCGTTGTCTGGCGTAGGGCCAAAAACTATACCAGCTGGAGTAGGGTTGTCACTTGAATGTAAAATAGATGTATGAGCACGCTTGGTGCGAACGGTTGTTGAGCGAGTAGTGTTCTGAGAAGTGTTGGCCGAGGTAGTTTTGACTGCTGAAGACGTCTTCCGGCGCTTAGTAGGCGGTGAAGACGGACTGTCGTGGTCATGGTCGGGGTCTTCATCGCCATCTGACTCATAGGTGTCAACTTGATCAGATGTTGCGGGACCTTCACGTTTTGCCTGGGAAGAAGTAGCTGCTATCCGACGGAGAGGTTTGAGACCCATCATCAAAATTGTAGTTGGTTTTCTTGACGTTTCGGGGCTGAAGTCTCCTGGCTGCATAGAATAGATAACTGTCAGTCCTCCCTCCAAGAAAATGATTAAACAGTATATACCTGGCGAAGTCTTTGCACACCTGAGGTCCTCGTTATTCTCATTGTCCTCAGGTTCTTCATTGGTAACTTTGGCGCTGTTGTCGCTATCGCCTTCTACGTCATCTTCGTGATCACAGCTGTCAGCCATCCCAACTGTAGATTAAACAAGATATAATATACCTGGTGAAGTCTTTGCACATACGAAGTCCTCATCCTCGTCCTCGTTTTCCTCATTTTCATTGGCCTGGCCGTGTTCATGGTCTTCATTACCATCATCGTCATGGACATCATGGTCTTCGTTACCGTCATCGTCATGGACATCATTGTCATCAATGATGACCATGTCATCATCTTCATCCATGTGAGATTCCGCAGCCAGAAGGTCATCATCGGCGTCAGAGGTGTCTATGAAAGGGGTCAGTGTGGTTATTTTAGTTAATACCATAGATCATTACCTGGGGCACAGTCGTTTCGTAACTGAATGTCAGAAGAGACTGAGTCCACTGAAGGTTTTACGTTTCGTTTACAAGGGCGAGCAAGGATCTGAGCATAGTCATCGAAGGTCATGATCGATGAGCGTCGGGGTAGAGGACGAGGGTTGGGGCGGTTAAGGCCATCCGTAACAGGAGAGAGCTGAAGGATAGGACTTTTTTCGTTTATGATTTTGCTTGGTTGGAGGGTTGATAGTGATACCACTGCGTGTGCGCATGACATAGCTACCGGATACTGTGGAGCCTTGAGTGCCAATATTAGTTGCACCACGACGGGCTGCATTTCTGGTGGAGGGTGCCATTAAAACGTAGACGGGCTTGATACTGAGAAAAGGGGTGCTTTTAACACGAATGTTAGAAGCAGGCAGCTAGTAAAACACGAAGTCTTACAGTTATTTTTCAAGACTCGAAGTCTTGACAGGACAATAGAAGAGTATGGGAGACGAAGCTGATTGCAAGTCAGAAGAAGAAAAATTCTTGCCAAAAATACACGAACATTGCGGATTTTAACTGACTGTAAGACGCCCAATACACATCGAAAAAACCAAAAAAAATAATCAAAAGCTACAATCCGCCCAATCGACACTGAAACAAAAGAGTTACATTGAAAGAACATCATTAGTATAATGCAATATTCACTGCAAACGATCACATACTAACTTATTGCGGATGGCTCACATTAACAAAGCTTCAAAGCTTACGCAAACATGGGTGATTGGGCGAAGATGTGCATCTTTGGTGAAATGAAGTGGCGGTGCTTAAACTTCTTCAGTATGATCATTGCTACACCGCAAGCGTCATAGCTACCTCGAAGGCAGCGAAGAGGGCAAGATAGGCGTGTGAGTAGTTACGGCTCCTCGAGAAAACGATGGTCTATCATATACATAGGTATAACTATTCAGGTGTGCAACATCAGTTACTGTAAGCCAGTAGTGTATGTGTAGACTAAACTGTACCAATGTTCTGATTGGGTGACAGGTGCTCGCTCTAGCGCTTACTGCCTAATATGGTAATGGCTGCTCACTGCGGACAACAGCGAGTGCACAATTTTACTCAAACAGGAGAAAGAAAGTATCGGCTAATAAATAAAGAGCCTGTCACGTTGAATCAACATGTGGGGGACATAGCGCCAGTCTACCTTCAAATTAGCTTGGTTGTGATCTGTAAAGTGGAAAAAAGTGTCACTTCAACAACTCGAACTAGAAGGGACCAAACTTACTTTGATTTCTTGGATCTGGTTCTCGAGACCACCGATATCAGTGTGAATTTCTGTGAGATCCTTGTCCAAGTTCATGACGCTGACTAGTCGACGAAACTAGCGGTACTGATGATAGTGTGGTCATCATCAACAATCTCCTCCAGCATGTCAAAAAAGGTATTCTTACAAGTATACCCGCCAGTCTACTTTGTGGATCTCACTGCTTTTGTCGTGTTAGCTAGTGTGAAGCGGGCAGAGTAGTTACTTGAGAGTTCACCTTCTCCACTTCCCGAATGAGTTTAGTTAGTGGGTCCCACCTTTTGCATAGCTCGACCTTTGATTATCTGTTGTAAGTAGAATGTATCAATTATAATAATGTAAGATGGGGGGAGGACATACTGATCGGTAGTTAGAATACAAAGTACTTGAGATGTTCGAAATCCCTGGAGACAATCAATTAGAATACAATAGCTGGAAAAGGGCCTTCGCCAAGGATGGATGAATATGGGCGAATTGACAAGCTCAGTGTTGAGCTGTGTTGAGGTAGGTAGGGCCATCAGACTCATAGTCAGACAGCCAGGTAGCCCTCGATGACACTAAGTCACCCAGGCTAATTTTGTCTGCCTCGAAGGCAGAGAAAGCGATGGGGCCAGATGAGGAGGAGGAGATGCCGTGTTGAGGTAGGTAGGACCATCAGACTCATAGTCAGACAGCCAGGTAGCCCTCGATGACGCGAAGTCACCCAGGCTAATTTTGTCTGCCTCGAAGGCAGAGCAAGCGATGGGGCCAGATGAGGAGGAGGAGATGGGGGTAAGCGATGACGAGGAAGAGATGGGTGGTAAGCGATGACGAGGTCGCAGGTGAAGAATAATAACAGGCGACAAGTCAAACTTGGACTTAGTAATAAGATTGTCAAAATTGGAAGTTGGGCAATGGGCTTTCCCAGATTGTGCATGGGCTTTCCCACAATGATTCGAAGTGTAGACTTCACATTTCTTCACCCCCAACTCCTTTTCCTCATCGCTCGCCACCCAACTTCATCTCCCATCACAGTTCACATCGCCCGACTTCTATAGTCTACCATAGTCTACCTTCGTGGTAGACGCACCGCGAGCAGCAACTTCGTGTTGCTTGCTGCTATTGATTGCTTAGACTTCGGTCGGCAGTCTTGTCTTCACCGGCACTATCTTGTCTTCCACCGGCAGTATCTTGCGTCCACCACCAGCATTGTCTTCAACCCCCGGCATTGTTTCACACAGCTAGAACTGTCTCCCACAACCAGCATTGTCTTACACGGTCAGTATTGTCTTCCACAGTCAGTATTGTCTTAAACCGCCAGGATTATCTTCAAATGCCAGAACCATCTTAAACCTTCTGTCACTTGCTGATTCTTTTGACGCTATTACTGACATTCAGATTTCGTTAAAGCCTGTGCTGTTGGCATCTGCAGGTAAGTACATTCATTATATTTAATCACCCTATCTTGGCTGACATCCAGCCTTCTAACCAGTCTGTTCACTTCACTCAAGACTCCTCTCGTCTTTCGCCGTAAGTTCCAATGCTAAGTTGGTTCGCGCTACATTTACTGACATCACGCGTTCATCAGATTTCGTCTGAATCTCTCAAGACCATCTTACTATCTGCCTTCGTGGTAGCATTTAAATTATCAGTGACTTCGAGTCGTTGCATGATTTAAATTCATTCCTCAGTGACTTTGAGTCGCTTTGTGATTCCCTATTCTCAGCATCACCATTCCTGCAGCTACCGTTATGTCGATCCCTGTATTTAAACCATTCATGCGTGATGGCGACCGTGCATTCTGGCATCTTTGTACCTCTACTGTCTTTGATTGACGATGTCTAGGTTATCTCACTGCTACTGATGCTTTCTGTGTGGCTGCATATGGCCACTGAGTCGTCACTACTCCCAACATGAAGTTTATTCCGCAACCCTTCGATAACGAAACCGACATAATCTAAGCACAAGCAGATGGCAGATATTGGGCCACGGATCCCTTTCAGTGGCCGCAGATGTACAACGACTTGTATGCTCGAAGTTTCGCCATTCCACACCAGGAAGCCTATATGGGCGACGCAAGCATGACCCATGCGTGATTCAGGCCAACTTTCTCAAGTGACTTCGTGTCCCTTACTCCCGGTAGTCTTTTTGGTCAGCTCAAGCAGGACATTCTCGGCCATCTGAAGCGATTGTACAAGAAGGCCAGCAAGCGGGTTGGCACTTACAAGGCTGCAAGGTTGCATAAAGATGATCATGTTGTTGGGTGGGTGCATGCGATGCGCGCCGTCTACGAGTGCTTGCAGCAAGCCATGGCTTGGCGCGACATTGTCATAGTCGTTGCTGAATATCAGCGTCGGTTTCTCGACATCTGGGCAGTTCTAGATTACTATGAAGTCATCGAGCCCTGCATGTGATTCCTCGACACTACTCATAAGGTCGATACTAAATGGATGGGTTGTTTCACTCAAGATGTCGCTATTGCCACAAAGGTGCACGCTGCTGGAGTTCCTGTCTGGCTCATTTGTGATGTCAGACTTGTCAACTCAAACATGAACATCGTGAAAGTCATTCCATTCACACCACCCAATGACCTCGTCATCGGCATGTACCACGATCCCATCAAACTCTTCGCTCAGCCATTCGACATCATAGCCAGAGGTCCCAATAATCGCCGCCATCACGAGGCCGCTCGTCAGCCATATTCCAACTTCGAGAAGCTGCCGGTTCCTAAACCCCAAGTGGAACAGCTGGCCATGAAAGATTCATTGGTGGGAAAGGCTCGCATAGACAAAGGAAAGGCAAAAGCGAAGGCAAAACCTGCGCCGTGTAAGTTCATCAGTCTTCTTTCATGACTGCCGTGTCTAATTGATTCCTCAGACGATGTAACTGCTCCTCGTCAGAACAAAGCTGTTTCTGGTCGTGACAAGTGGTCTGATATAGATCACCCTTACATGCCCCCGATAAATTCTTTCTTCAAGATCGCTTTGCAGGATGCGAATAAAGAATTTCTCCGCATCAAGCATCCCAGGGATCAAATGGACGATGGTTACTCGCTTCCTGATCCAGGATTGTTCGTCAATGTTCTTTCCCTGCAATCATTGATGAAGTACCTTGCCAACTGGCTGGCATGCCGCCCAACCTGGCTAGAACGTGTCTACGAAGAAAGCCCTCGACCTCTTCCTCGTGCCCAGAACTGGCGTGACTTTTTGATATCTCAGCACGCTCAGGTTCCTGCGAATCCGCAAACGTCCAGCAAGACCAGCAAGTCGAAAGCACTTACTGCTACCCTCTTCCAAAAGGAAGTTACAGTACTGCGGGCCTTGTGGGCAGGTCCCACAAATGTTCATTGGCGCGGAAAGGATATAGTTATCTCCACTCTGGACAATCCCCCTGCAGATCTCGTGCGCCAGATCACGTATGAAATCTGTGAGCAAAGCTTCCGATATGAACTTCTCGACCTTGATGAACATCTTGGGCGCGATGCACATAAGGACAAGGAGGCGAGGAAGGAACAGATAGAACTTATTCATAGTATTTTCCTGTCGAAATCATTGAGGGTTTGGAACAGGGACTTACCGGAAGAGAACGACGGACTCAATGTGTCATCTTTCGACGCTGCTCTACCATACTTCGAAAGTTTCTGCAAGGTGTTGTCAACGTGGGAGCACTTTCCCGAGTCCCTCAAACAGCCCCTCGATGCTACCAGATGCGAGCACAACATGTGGAAGGGGATGAAGGAATGCTGTTGCTTCTACGTCCAGTCGTATTTCGACAATACTGGCCGTCCACCTATTGTACCTCATCTACTGTATTCGGTCACGTAGATATTGACACTGTGCCCTTTTCCCATCGCAATCACCGTGTACTTTTACAAATTTAATCAACCTATACCCCAAATAGTCAATTGTTTGTATACCATCACATGTTACCATTATTCTGCTTTGGTCCTAAGCGGACTTCGTCATGGACAAACATGTATCCTAGGGATTAAAGTTTATTTTCCGCATATACGCGCTAACATCTTGGTTTCACACAGCAACACCGTGCACATAAACAGGTAGAGTTTCTTTCTTCATGTTTCCTAGTCCTCGTCTACTCCAAAGGTTGATTGACGTGTTCACCCACTTTATCCTCTTCCTTTTCGACGCAAGTTTGGGACTTCGGGTTCCTCCTAGCGTTCAGTAGTCGACTTCGTGTCGACACTGACCTTAGTGCAGGCTTTGTGCTTGCCTTTGACTATCTCATAGTCGGCTTCACGTTGATGCTGACCTTTGTGCAGGCTTTGTGCTTGCCTCCGATTATCTCGTCATGGCCCCATCCATCCCTATCATTGGGCCATCAACTCCATCCCCTCATAATACACAGCACATACTCATCACTTCTTCCATGGTGAAGAGGAGGCGGCGACCGCAGCAAAGCAACAACTTTTACCTTCCTGTAGCCCCCCCACTACTCGTACTTCCCGGAAGAAAACACCTCACACAACAATCACTCGATATGACAGGGAGGTCGCAGCAGCAACAACCTTTGAGCGATGGTGACACTGCTAATCAGCATGATACTCCTTCTGCTGGGGATCTTTTAGAGCGTGAAGAGGAAGGCTCATCATTTTATAACTCACTCCACTACATATCTGATGGTGATTTACTCCCGCCTTCCTGTTCGAACGGCCGCCAAAAGAAGTTAAATCAGTGGCGGTGCTGGACAAACGAAGTCATTCCTTCGTTGATCACTCCATATTTTGCATACTTGCGCAAATCAACTTCTCTTTGCGATCGAATCGGACCAGATGCAGAAGAAGTTGCTGCCTTCCAGTGCAGGTCCTCTTGTAGACGGAGAACTCTCAATATCACTTGCATACTTTTCAATCGTATGTCTCTCTTATTACCTGAGTTATTGGTTGGCTGATAATATCGTAGATATTGAGATATTGCGAATTGATTGCTGCGCTTGCGCACCTGCTCCCCTTCAGCTCCTGGGTCGTGGTTATTTTGCATGCGCTCCCATTGCCCCTTCCCTCGCTGTGGACCTTCAGCTGCTGGAACTTGTGAAGACCTTGTTCATGCATATCACTCCCAACACGACCGCTTGGTGCGAAACGCTCAAAGTCTTTCTGGCTGGCCGCGGGTATCATCTTACTACCAAGGTTAGTCAAGTGTCTGTGTTGGGTTTTGGCCATCTAGCTCAATCTTATCATAGGATAATCTTCGTTGTTGATTCGGTAACGCCTATCATTGGTACTCTGTGCTCTGTATGAGTGCCGAAGATCACTTATCGAATCTCATTGGAGCTCATCACCCACTTCTAGCACCGTCCACTGAGGGACTAACACGTCCAAGTGACTATCTGAGGTCTCGTTGTTTAATTTGTTTCGGTTTGGATGACTGGCAAAAAAGCAGAACCCTTGGTCTCCAGTAAGTTGCGTGAATATCATCAACTAAAAAAATTCTAAAGCACATAATAGACCTGACGTCCATACTTGCATTGACGCATGCTTCACTCAAAAACGTTCAGTGGACCAATGCGGCGGAGGTCCAGATCCTCCAAACCCAGTCAGATCAGTTTTCCTTTCAGATGAGGAGGTGGCATCGATGGATGCTCATGTGCGAAGTTGTCGTGGTAGGCCCACTGATCAGGGTCGCAAGAGAAAGCGACCTACAGCTACAGAAGAGGACGGGGATGGCTATGAGAATGGTATGCGAGTCCCCACCTCTGTACTGGATAGCTGCGGTGAATCTTTTCTTGCCGCTGATGAGAAGCGCGAAAAGGCCAGCACCCAATTTTTGCAGATACAGGGGTGATGGCCATGTTATGTCGCCATGATCGTGTATTATGGCTCGCTAACATGACGTCAGC